AAATCTTAAAAGAGAGAGAGGGAAGTTCTGCCCATTTGGAATAGAAATAGCTTGTGCACAGAAGGCAGAGTCATCTAGAGCTTTACATTTACCATCCTTCACTAACTACTTAAAATGATCAAGATATTTTGAGTAAATTACATATGCCCATTACTTGAAAGTGTGTGCTTTACTTGGATGATGACAAGTGTTTAGAACAGGGGATCTGGAATTAAAAGGCTTGGGGTCTCCTTTGCCTTGTATTAGGTATGTAATCTGAGAAAATCATTTCCTTCTTTGTGCCTCAGTTTCCTTATCTATAAAGTTGGCAGAGTGTTAGTGCCTAATTCCTGGGAGCTAGGGAATAGCCTGTAAGATAACTCTCTGTGCCTTTCTCCCTCCCTCAATTGCCTTTCCCATTTCCCCATCCTATTTTCCTTACTCCCACTTATCTTTGAAACACTTCATGTAGGAAGTCTCCCCGTCTGTCCCTGATGGTGCTGGGGACTCTCCCCCCCAGCCCCCACCGTGCCCACCCAGGCTTTTATATGCAACAACCACGTGATATCATTAGGCAGAAACGCAGAGCCTGCGTCTAATCCACGCGCTCAGCACCTAGCATAGTACCTGGCCCGTAACCAGTGCTCAAAAAATCCGCTGAATAAATGAATAAAAATATGTTGGGAAAACGCTTCATAAATTCCAGAGTATGAAACAAAAGTAATATATTGTGGTCACCATTATGCTTCTCGTTCAAGCGGGACTCAATTCATTTTTATAAAATACAAAATTTATTTTGGCCTAATTCTGCTCACTAACATATCAGACCTGTCCTTCTGGGCTTAGAGGAGAACTGGACTTTCTGGAAGGTGCGACTAACCATGCGATTGTGTCAGCCAGTGAAATGTATGGCGCGGTCATTTCCACGTGGCAGCATTTTGTGGCCAATGTCTTGCCTACACTGGTGGTGACAGAAGCGCATTTAGACATTGACACCAAAGCAGCCCAGCACGGTGACCGTGCACCGCGTGGGGAACAGCTGTCCGCAGAGACACAGGCCAAAAGCGGACTTGGCGTGACTGAGCGACAATGTGTATTCTAGTAACCCTCTGAGATGCTACCATTTTTTATTACCACAGCATGATCTAACATACCAGACTGATAAAGTCACCAAAACTAACTTCTGGGGGGAAAATATGTGAATTTTCTGGAAACACGGTAATAATCAAAACCAAAAGCATGAAGAAAAAACTTGTCTGAAAAGTATATATCTGAGGGTCAAAACATAATACAAGGGCTCTCGTTTACTTTATAGGGGTCTTAAGACTCTAACTTGAGTCTACTCAAAATCTAAAGGAATTTCTATGGTCAGCGCTGAAACTGAGACCAAATCCCATGCTTACACCAGAAGGAAATTATATGCACCAAAATACTTTTTAAATAAGGCATTTGGCATAAGTTGTTTTAAAGAAATGTGTTTTAGATATTCCACCAACATGATCACTGTTAACATGGTTACCCATGTATATATTTCACAAACATACACATACACACACGCAAAGCACACGAAATATATTTACGGTTTAACAAAAAGTATAAAGTGAAACTGGCATCACCACTACTCTGGTCAATAAATAGTACGTTGCCAAGACTGGAAACCACTGGCCTGGCTTTTTGGAATGATCACTTTCTTATTTCCCTTCTAGTGTTACTACTGAGCCTGTTTTAAAATGTGTTCTATCATCCGACTGCTCCATGGTGGAGAGATTAATCAAAGAACTTCGATGCATATATACATGACCTATGGACACAGACCATAGTGTGGAAAAGACCTGGGGGCAGGGAGGGGAAGGGGTGGATGCC